TTGGTGCCTAAACCTGAAAAAAAAAAAAAAAATCACAATCAACTTGTAGAGCAAAAAACCACAGGCATGGAAAAATAGGTTAGCTCCTATTCCACCTGCATGGAGCTCATTAGTTGTAGCCAAGAGCTGCTTTGACTCATACATGAACTTGATTCAAAATCCAGAATCCAGCAACAACCAGATAGGACTACAGTGTGTGCAATACTATTGAAGAGAAAATCTTAGGTACACAGTTCAATAGTATCTCATTATTAATTATTGTTTTGATTAAAGAATCCACCACAATCCTTAGCCAACTGCTTCAATGATTTTAAAGTAATTAGTTACAATATTTGTCTCACTTCTGCTTTGGTCCTAATCTTATCTCTGGCTAAGGATTTATTTCAGTGCCAGTGTTTAAAAGTCTGACAGTGTAAAAATGCCTGTAATTTGGATTTTACAAAAAAATAATTTCTGGGCATATGAACAATCCGTACAAAACGGATGAAGAACAGCTGTTTCTGAAGTACATTCTGTTAAAACTAAACCATCCTCACTTTTAAATCAGTTGTCTCATCTCCAGAAGCACATTTCTCAGACACCAAATCACGAAGAAGTAATCAAAAAGTAAAAGGGATCAAATACATTAGGAATCAAAAATGCACTGTATCAGTGAAATTGCTTTTCACAAACTTGACTGAAAAAATCAATAGTTTTAAAAGAAGAGTGATCAAAATAGACCAGACCAATCTTCCATTAAGCTACAATGATTAGCATGCATCAGCTTTCTTTAATCTTTTAAGAACAAAGTCCCACGTTGGCTATTTACCTATTTTCTCCTCATTTTTCCCGTCTCATAAGATCCACATAAAGATGAGTAGCCTGAAGTCATCTGGGTTAGCCTGCTTCTTTTTTGGTAGTAATTTAAAAAAACTTACTGTACCTCACTGTGTCCTCCAGGCTTTGGGATGTTTCAGTGTTTTGAACATCAGTATTAATAACCTGAAGACCCTGATTCTTTCTATTTTTTTTCTATTAACTGCCTACAATTGTGGTTGGTTTTTTTTTTCAGTTAGCATTGGCTGTCTGCAAAATACTAAAATAAATAATGTTACAAGTGATACAGAAATACATTTTCAGGTTCAGTTCTTTCAAAACCATGCAATTTTATTGTCTATACATAAACATAGCTACAATATTAACAACGTCTCCTTGGCAACACTGTATGTGCATCTAGTTTAGTAATCATCATTGCTTGCCCTTATTTTTAAACAGCAACAGTAACACCAAAAGATATTGTGGGCAAAAGCCATGCATGGAGTTGCATGGATCCAGTCCACACTGACAAAAGACATTCAGTGTTATTCCCAAAAGCTATGTAGGACTTTTGGGATATATTGATATTCACATGATTTTTTCACATTGATATTTGGGATGTATTGATATTCACATGCTCCATAAAAATAAAGCATGGAAAGAGAAGCATAAGCAGTATTTTCTAATAATAAAAGCTAGCTACTTCCTACTGAGGAAATGTATTGTCTATTCCAACACCTAGTAATTATGGTCCTGGAACAGAAACATACTGAAATGGTGGCCCTGAGATTGACCTTTAAAACAAACTAGAATTGTAAATTTTTCAGGCCTAATAGCCTAGACTGAGTCTGTGCAATCAAGAATAGATGACTTTTCAAAAAAGAGCTCTGAAATTATTTTCCTCTTTCTACAAATTACTAGGACCTATAACAAAATTCTTTCTGCTCTATCACAAACACTATCCTAAGTGCTCCAAGGCAGCAACAACTCAGAAGTTGCTGTCAGTTTTAACAGTTGCATTATTGTGACAAAGAGGGAGCTAGCATAAAGAAAAGGTTATATAGCAATTATTGAAATGGTTGCTATTAATAACCTCACACAGACTTCTCCCTCTCCCATTCAAGCACACAAAAAGCACAACATACCCAGTAAGAATACTTCATTTAGCAAAGGGTGAAAGGACTTCTATGGGCAAACAGTGAGTTAATTATTGATCAGCAGCAAACACATGGTTTTGAATGCAGGTAAAAGATGGAGAGGGCACTTACCAAATCTACCAGGCACAATTCATATGAGAAGCCACCAAATAAATATCTTCACATCTGTAAGAATGCACTAAAGCTAATAAAAGTTAAAAAATTACTAATTTTAGAAAATTTGAAGCAGATGTACTATGTTGAAAGCCACAAGTGCATACTGTGAAAATGAACAGTATTTAGAAACTCTTCACCTTTCTTTCTGAGAACAACTTACACATTCTGTATTTGGTGGCAGCACACATATAAGAACACATTCTGTGCAGCTCCTATATGACCACATAACATCTGTTGTCATACAGACTATAGGACAGCAAAAATGCAGAACAAAAATATTTAACATATTTGTCTGACATTGTTGCCTTTTGGTCTGAAAAATGTTCATATTAAGAAAGAAAAACTACCTTCCATTAACATTAGTAACAACAGACTCAAAATTTTTACTTATTTTTGCCCCAAACTTTTCAGTCTTATTCCACAAGGGATTTTGCTCCTACTCTCAGTCCTTCTTGTATTCTGTGTTTCTGTTTGACTTCTGTACTAGGATTTCTTTATTTGTTCAGTCTTACAACTGATTTGCTAAACAGGACAAACTGCCTTCATGCTAAGTCAGTCATAGCAGCACGTCCACCTTGGCTTTCTTTCTGCTTAGAATGAAAGCGGTCAGAACACAGGCATTCTGGTTTTCTAGCAACTGATTAGGCTGTTTGTTACCAAGCTGGTTAAACCAGCTGCACTTTCCCACACCTACATGCAACAGATGAATTGAACTTTCAAAATTCTAAATAAATAAATGGTGGTTTGTTTATTTTGGTTTTTTTTTTTTTTTTTTTTTTTCCCCACATCTCATTTAGTATCACTAAGGTTAGTCCCTTTTCATCAAAACCCATTCTCTCTAGTAGTAAATAAATAAATTAAACCACAACTTCAGTTCAGATTCAATGGAATCAGAATTTTACCCAGGTTTCCACTGCAATACCTGTAAACTAGGATGTATTCAGAAAAGTCTAAGACTGATACATAGTGATCTAGAAGGCAAGTGAAAAGCCATAGAAACTATAAAATGTGCAGCAGAGGAAGCACACCAGAAGAGCAGAACTTCTCAGGAACTTTTTTAACGTAGAAGAAAAATTCAGACCATGCAGGATTTGCTAAAAGCTACAACTGAAGTTATTATATTTGCTTAAATTTATAGCAGATCCTACAACAGCAATCTTCACTTAAAAAGGAATTATTAATACTAGTGCCAAACAGCAGAAAATATGAATGTACAGTATAACTGCTGGAAGCATACACATCAGCTTTTCAAGTCAGGTACAGCCACTCTGATATGCAGCCAAATAGAGAGCATCATACATGTTAGTCACCAAGTATCTGCTTATTTTCATGTATGGGATGGGCTTTATGGTACTCAGAGTATATTAGTGCTACAAATTCAATATTTAATATCCTGGTGCTGATGGAAGCCACTGGCTAGCTGGCTTCAGTGCTGTTGCCCCGTTTATCTGAAATGGTCACACAAAAAAGCCTTCAGTAGTTTAAATCATGCCAACTTACTTTCACCAACAGCCTGACTAAGAATGTCGTAATTACTATCTCAGCATATTGGAAACCAGTGAAAAACTAATTTACCTTCCTAACGAGAACATTTTGGCAGAGCAAAGAAACAGAAACTCCAAAACAATGTATCAATGCTGGTTAATTTTAAATCATAAGATCTGTTTGGTCCCCTCATTAAAAAAATAAAAAGAATCTATTCACTAGGTGAAGAACAACAATTTCACTCGCTACCAAAAAATCCAAAACATCTTTGAAATGAATCTGATAAGGAAATCTTACTGCATGACTCAGTGGGTGTGGTTTTTATCATGTTTCAGCCAGCATTACTGTTCACTTACGCAGACATTGCTTAAATTCTGTCCAAGAAGGAAGTGAAGATGGATATCAAAAGAGGAAAGTTAATTTAAATACAGAAGAAAGAATTGGTTACAGGCTCTCAGGTAAGAGCATGGTATAGAGAACAGCCAAGAAAGGGTTCCCTTATGCCAGCCTTCTTCTTCAACAGTAAATTCAGACAGCCACAGGTATCCAACTTCGGATTCTCTGGCACGATGATGTTTGGCAGACAATGATGTTGCGATAGCTACACAGATTTAAGTGAACCTATGACATACACTTACCAATCCTTTCTCCCCATCTCCATCAATGAAAAACTAATGTTGTACAGCGAAAAAAAAGTGGCTGCCAAAACCTGGATGTGTCTGTGATATCTGACTTCACAAACATCACAAACAATACCAGGTACAGTTACCCTCAAAATGGAAACCACGCTATTAAGCTACCAGTTAGCATAGTCTATAGGTCAAGACATGTTACAAGACTAAACTTTAGTCTAACACAGTGATTTTATCCCTCCACCTTCAATCTGGGATTTTTTCAACACGACTGTTCTTGCCTTTATTACAAGATCAGCAGACTACACACTAATACTATTTTTCTCCCTAAGAATTCCATCTCAAAATGCTAACCTTGTTCTAGTGTGAATATAAATTAGTTTTCAAAGCATGCTTATTTAGAGCTACTTTAGTTTAAGATGCAGTTAAGTTTTCCTAACAAGATTCTACTTAATTTCTTTCAGGTTTAAATCTTCCTACAGTTAGAGCAAATATAATCATTCACAACAAGGGGAAAACAAACAAATAAACAAACAAACAAAAAAAACAGCAAAAAAAAAAACAAACCCAAAATGCCTTCGCTTTCAGGTGAATTTAAATCAGACAAAAATAAATGAATCACATTTTTGAGAATCATCTTAGCAACAAAGCCAAAAGCATAAGGATTCTACTAATAAAGGAGACTGACTTCCATGTATGGAGGAAAAATAGTTTTCTGTTGAAATCATTTTGAAAGAATTATGAACAAAAAAATTCCACTTCTTATTGCAGTATGTATACAGGAATGAAAGTGGTTTATTTATTACACACAAAAACTTTTATTAAAAAGGCTGGTAATGGAACATTTTATTTTCATCTATCAGCTTGATAAAAGGTTAATTACAGAAATTGTGTATAATGTATGTCACATGGATGGGTTATTTAAAAAAAAGACTTGATAGAGGATCTTTTATCTTAGTTACATTGTAAAGTGCCTTGTGTAGTCATATTCTATTGTTGGAATGACTGCCTGTACAAATTTCAAGAAAATAAGAAGGTACCTGAATTTCTTGTTAAGGAAGAGTTGTAAAAACTGGAAATCCCATAAAACAAACTAGAAGTCACTTACAATATTTCATTCAACTGTTCTTCTTGCTAGCAGGAAAATAGCACTTAGAAATTATACAGTTAGAGACTGGGAAACTAATACAACAGATCTCTAGTAATAACATCTGGTGCTTGCCCAAACATAGAAGTCTTACTTTTTCAAGATAAAACAAGGAACTAGAAGTTACTTTCAATAACTCTTACAAATATCATACAAGAACATATAATGCCATTTATCAACTTAACATTTGTTATTAACAAATGCCAAGCTGAACTGAACCTAGCAAGGCTAATTCCTTCCTGCAGCTGCAGGGAAAACAGGCTTCTTCTCACAGAATGGCTCATGGATCATGAATCTCCAACCCCCCTGCCACAAGCAGGGCCACCAGCCTCCCCATTTAATGCCAGACCAGGCTGCCCAGGGCCCCATCCAACCTGGCCTTGAACACCTCTAGGGACAGGGCATCCACAACCTCTCTGGGCAGCCTGTTCCAGCACCTCACCGCTCTCTCTGTACAGAACTTAAACTGAAACTTCTCAGTTTCAGTCGCTCAGAAAAAAAAGTAAGCTGCTGTTCTGAAACACCCTCTGGAAGTGCTCCTTGCTCTTGAGAAGGGAAGGAGAAATAAGCTTTGCTAAGCTCAAAAGCTTGCCTTTGAATAGCAGATTTTCTTAGTCTTCCCTGTATGATACACCTTCAAACGATTGTTGGTCCCAAATTTGTAATGTTGAGTATGCTGGACAATTGTAAACTGAGGTGTCTGTCCACTTGTGACTGAGGCATGCAGTGAAACAAAAACTAAAATAAATCACTAAAATCAATCTCAGAGCCAAATCTAATACCAAAGTAGTACATCTGATATTTCCAAGTCTACTCTGTGGTAATATCAAAGCATGGATTCTCAAACTTCACTTAAATACATGCCAACTCCAGCCAACGTCTATGTAACTCCAGCCTTATCTTCTTACTACATCCTCCCTCACCAGGATCTCAATTGCATATTCATAGCTACCTCCTTAATTGAGATGCAAACTTTCAATCTTGTCCCTTCAATACTACTCGTTTTCCGCTCTGGTTCCTCACCTGCCCTCCCCTCTCCCCAGCAGAGTAGCAGTGTTCATTTACACAGAAGGAGCTCATCCCAGAACTCTAATTAAGTACTACCACAAACATGGTTTATTGCTTTCACACACTATTGAATTCTAGTTTAGGAACCCTTAAGTAACAGCTCCCTACACTGAAAGAAATCCTTACAAATAGCATGCAGTAATGAAAAAGGATACATGTGAACTCCAAGTTCTCCTCCACCTTCTGCAACAGTCTCTATTATTTTCTTCATCACTTCCGCATGCCTGAAATACAGATTAGAAGCAGTGAATGAAAAAATAACGAAAAAATAACTTCTTCATCTCAATAAAATCATATTACCTGCAAATTAAAAAGTTTCGGATGTTTGGTTCCACAGCAGCAAGATGAAACTTGCAGTTTATTAACAGAGAAGTCCCAACAACGACTGAAATATTAATATTGAAGTGCTGAATATAACAATTGCCAGCCTCTTACATTCATAAAGAAAAAGAAAATATTCTATGCTACAGTGAAGACTGAATAGCATAATGCAAGACAGTGTATTTTCCTTCTGCTTGTACAATTGTTAATTGTAAAATGACAAAGTCATCAGGAAAGTCTCTAGAAGGTAATCCTCACTAGAAGCAGCAAGCCAGCAGAAGTCCCCAGATGATCTCTGAAGGTGACCTAGAAATCCCTGCAGCGTTTTCATCTGCCTCGGGTGATTTTCAGTGTGCTTAAGAAATATCAAATACACAACTCATAGTTTCCTTGGAAATGCAGGGTAAGCCAAACCTACATAAAACACCTTTTATAAGAATATAAAATGGAATCACAAACTGAGGTTAGAAAAGTTTCTGGTCATTGCCTAGTACTGCCAAGTCCAGCCTTTCCTGCAAGAAGAAGAGTAAGCTAGAACCGATTGCTCAGGAGCCTGTCTGATCTAGTTTTGAATACTTCCAACAAGGAATGCTATAAATCTTCTAATGATCAGCTACAATTCAGGAATAATAGTCTTGTGTTCAAGACAGCTCTTCTATGTCATAAACTAAGGGATGAAGAACATACCAACTCAGAGGAGGAAAATACTGTACGGTCAATTGAAGTTTTAATTATAACTTATTAACTCAGACTCACAGGTTGTCACTTTCACCTATCCATCAGCTTTAAATTCATGATTCTGTAGGCAGTCCTGGCCAGAAATGCCACATGGTGTTATGTTTGCCCACCCATTTAACAGTGCAAGTCAGTCAACAGTAGCAGTTTAAAGTACTCATCCTGAAACAAACTGTATTTGTAAGAACCAGGAAGAGTGGTAAGCACAGTCTGAATAACTTACTGAACATCCTTTGACATAATTATACAAATCAAAACAGCCTAAATAACTGACTAATAGTGGCATTCAGTAATTATCTCTAAAGTTACTCATGCTGACAGTGACTGCAAACACAAGGAAGGAAGTTGTTGTAAAGTTACCAAGACACTTTGTAAACAGGAACGTGTAAGTCTGGGAAATAATAAAGGTCAGCATTTGTCACTTACTGTGCTGTTGGTCATTAGAAACCAACTAATCATCAGAGTTGATTCCAATTCTGGATCCTCATGATGCCACTGCAGAACTTATGCTCACACAGGTACCTAAGCCAGATGCTTCTTTGTAGGCATGTGACCTCTGTTACAACGTAAGTTTCATCCTCTCATCTGTTAATGGGGAGTTATTTTTTGTAGTGGCACAAGTACAAGTCACCACACAGCTATTTTAATTCTTTTTCAGGATACTGGCTCAACCTCATACAGAATCACAGAATGGCCAGGGTTGGAAGGGACCTCAAGGATCATCAATCTCCAATCCCCCCCCACCCTCACACAGGGCCACCAACCTCCCCATTTAATACTAGACCAGACTGCCCAGGGCCCCATCCAACCTGGCCTTGAACACCTCCAGGGATGGGGCATCCACAACCTCTCTGGGCAGCCTGTTCCAGCACCTCACCACTCTCACAGTAAAGAACTTCCCCCCAACATCCAACCTAAATCTCCCCTTCCTCAACTTAAAACCGTTTCCCCTTATCCTGCAGTTATCTACCCTTTCAAAGAGTTGATTCTCCTCCTGTTTATAGGCTCCCTTTAGGTACTGAAAGGCTGCAATGAGGTCACCCTGCAGCCTTCTTTTCTCCAGGCTGAACAAGTCCAGCTCCCTCAGCCTGTACGTACATCTTAATGAGATTTGTTCCTTCCAGTTTTCTAAGGATTAGTAAAAGATAACTGGAATTCTCTAACAGCCACATAATGGTCAATCTTACAGTTTTAAAGTTACCTGTGAGAAACTTTGTGACTTAGAAGCTTTCAAAAGTTGGTTTCCTTCTACAAGAAAATTTTGAGAAGACAACATGAAGAATACATATCCTAAAAATAAAAGAAGCAAGCTAACTTCGGGAGAAGTGTAATTTGAAAAACCCTATCTAGAAATCTCAAAGATTATTATTATTACCTTACTTCTGAATATTAGTTCCCCCAAAATAACTGGTTGCCTTAACCCAAGGTAACTGTAAATGCTACGTGTTCACTGATGTTTGTTTCAGGCCTGTTTGTATATCACTTCATCTAACAAGTAGATCAGTAGATCAAACATTTGAAACATCTACTAAAATCTCTTAATTTACTTACTGGTATATTACCAACTCTTGATGTGCTTCAAGTAATATGAGTTAACATTCATATTCTAAGTAAAAAATACTGTTGTTCATATTGAAAAGAAATTGAGACAGATACGTACAGAGTTAAGTCCATAAATAAATAAATTGAGAGAATCCAATTTCTTAGATTGATTACACTTTCATAAGTTTTTACTTTGTTAAAAGTTTTTGCTTTTGAAGAGAATCACAGAACTGTAGGGGTTGGAAGGGACCTCCAGAGATCACCAAGTCCAATTCTCCTGCCAAAGCAGGCCCCCTGCAGCAGGTTGCACAGGTTGGCATCCAGACAGGTCTTGAATATTACCAGAGAAGACTGCACAACCTGGGCTGCCCATTCCAGTGCTCTGTCACTCTTACTGTGTGGAACTTCTTGTGCTCCAGTTTATGCCCAATTCCCCTTGGAAGTAACTAAAATCTTTCAGAAGTAAATGAATAAATAAAATCATATCTGACAGTGGAATTCAGCACAGTCGACATACTGATATTTTCTCAGTATCAGCTGAAAGGGAAAATTACAACACTGAAAAGTAAATGTATACAATAAAAACCATCCTGACCTATTGGGGGGAAACACAACCCACAAACCACACAACAGCAATACCAGAAATGATCAATTATTCACAGTTCAAAACAGTAAAAGGACTTCTTCAGGACTTTCAGTGTAGTGGACAACTATAAGCTTCTAGAACAAAGCTGAATCTAAGACACTGTAGGACAGTGTATTTTCAAGAGAAAACTGTCCACGAATGTGACTCAGTGTCTGTAACTGCTCACAGAAAGACACTGGTGGGAAAAAAAAGCACACAGGTGCTTTTTTCAGTATAAACCTGCATAATCTTGACAGTTGACCATAAACTCTACAATTCACTTATCCTGAGCCTTACAATCACTTCCCTGCTGATAGCTTACACTATGTAAGGTTAAAAGACTTCAAAAGCCTATTATTATACATTCTGAAGGAGAGGAAAATATGATCTCGGAATTAGCATATGTAATTCAAACCCAATTGTAAATGTGTTTAGCAGTTAACTAGTTTGCTATCAAATTATCAGTCATAAAACCCACATAAATAGTGAGAACTGTGGTTAAACCAGTTTCCAGCAATTAATGAGGAAGTTGAATGTGTTCCTGCTGGTATCATAAAAATGCTGATAAGGAATACAACTTCCAGAAGAGCTGCAAGATGAACTCTTTCAACTAACTACTTAAAATAGAACCAGTCTTAAGAAGTGGCAGTCTCCCTCATGCCAACATCCCATTTCCTCCTGTTCTCTGACGCAGGACAGAAGGACATACGCATTGCAAGAAACAGCCAAGTGAGTTTAGGACCACGCAAGTACCCCACGTTACACAATATATGTAATGCGTAGGGAAGCAACAGCTGCAGAGTTAGAAAAACACTAACTTAACAACAAAACATTTTTGACCTTTTAAAATAAATTAATAAATAAAATCTCAGAAGTCCAGACCTTCTCAGCTATAAGCCTTATTAAATTAAGGAGATCGAATAGCTTGCCTCATACAGCAAGAGAACATATTTAATGCTTTAAGAATTAAGCAGCATGAGGCAACCTAATTTAACCATGGCCTTTGTAACATTAGTACCTAGCAGTCACACAGAATTCCATTTTAAACCACCATTTTAGATACACTATCAGTCACTTTCTTCACATTCTCAGGACAACACCTGCTAACTTACACAATGTCAAGCAGTTGCCAGTCAATTAGATCACCTTGTCTTGTTTTGGGAGAAGGCTACATTGCTTCCTCTACATTTAAGACTAGTGACAAACTGATCTCACTGCAATATCAATCTTCCTTTTTTGTTCTTAAAAGACTAATTGCAGTAAGTCTCATGATGCAAGCTGTTTTTCCGAGGGTAGATGTGAATTATGTAACAAAGTCACTGAAACTTTACTCATTTCAGAGGAGGAACACATACACTCGCAGCTCTCCTCTGTGAAAAAATTTCAATCCAAATTCACAGGCTAATAGGAAATTGGTTCTTCTTCTATAAAGAAGTCTGCAAAATTAAACAGGATACATTGTAGTCACAGACAAGAATATACTCTACAGCTTTAAGTAGTCAGCAAGGGTTGTCATGCCCAAATATCTTGTCATCTTTATTTCTTTTGTGAGTGCCCTCCAACATGCATCCATCAGAGGCTTCCTCACATCCCTCTATTAGCAGGTCTTTCAGCATCCACTAAATTGAGCCACATCAGGAACGTTTTCTCCTTTGCTTTGGTTAATTGCCTTCCCACTCAGTCTGCTAAACCTTCCTACATTCATCCCACCTGATCAACCATCAAAAGGAAAGAACAGCATATGCTTTTTTCTTCCCAAATCCTTCTTACAGCAAAAGATCTTTTTCATTCTCCTCATTATCTGACAAACTCATAGTACATGCTCAAAAAAAGAGGCCTGAGCACGTACTTAGTAATGCTTCCCTCAAATTTTTCAAGTCTCCAGCAGTACACAGACTAGAGGCTCCCTAATTCTGGAACAGTAACCACACCTGACAACTCTTGACAATTTTTCTTCCATTAACTTCCTAAACAACTTTAATATTTAGGTTTCTTAGATATATGCAGAGTTTACTCCTTTTTCTGGCTTTCAACATGCCAGTAGTGAGTTCCATTCAATAATACGCACTTTACTACTGAGGAAAAAAATAAAAAGAAAGACCTACTGGCTATTGTCCCTCTGTGGCTTTCATGATAAGAGTCACTGAAATCAGAACTCATTCCTCTGTCTTTTGCTAGCTGAAGGGTCCCAGATTACTCAAATCATTTCTTATTTGGAAGAAGCTTCATAACTGCAGCTATTCCTGATACCCTATCTGTACCTCTTCCTTTATCTCAAAGACTACAGAATGGATAACAACAACTTACTGCAGTATTCAACATATAGGTCATCCCACAGATTCACAGTAGAAACTTAAATGTTTTCTGTTTTAGTCTTTATTCCTTTTCTAATAGTTCTCTAAGTTGTATCTGCTTCCTATACTACTCTCGAGTACCAAGGCTTGTCTAGATGGGTCTTTATAGACTTAAACCTGGTCATTTAAAGACCAGCAATGAAGTTCATTACTTAAATTTCTCTACATCAGCTGAACTGGGCAGAAAGCTATTTCCCACTTGTGAAATGTTTTCCCTGCTTAATATTGTGCAGGCATAAGCTCGAGTGCTTGTTAAAAGCAGAGACTATTGCAAGGCGGTGGTTAAAGAACCAAAATCTGGAAGACAAGATACAGATTGTAAAACACATGGATATACAACCTCATAAGATCAAGAGCAGCCATCCACCAGTTCAAAGCTTCCATTCTTTATAAAGAATGGTACAGCCTTCCCAAAACTAATCGTATGTTCAAAGAATGCCTAACCTAGAAATAAGAATGCTTTGACTCTGCAGAAGTTACCACAAGCTTGTCAGTCACATGCTAATTATTCGGCATCTCAACTAGTGACACAAGATCCAGAATTGTTTCTTCAAGCACAAAGAAACTTATGTGAGTGAAAGGGACAATCAGAATTTCTATTTATTTCTATAGTAAGCATGTATACGATACGGGATGTTTTTCCTTTTTATTTTTTAATGGGAAAAAAAAAAAAAAGACAGAGAGAAAGCCCGAATTCACATCTCCAAGATCTTGATAATAGCAAGAAGCTGAAGAATCACTCTACATCTAAGATAAAAGCCATCTTCAAAAACATGTTAGAAAAAATATCTGTGCAACTAGTCTAACTACAGACTACTTGTACATTGGATAAGAAATGTGGAAATGCAACAGAAAAGATCCTGAAAACAATTTTTTTTTTTTTAAACGTAAGTGCAAAATAATATTTCAGTGTGACAATTACAGGACCTGTACTTAGCAGTTTAATGGACATTTTGGGGAGAAGGTAGTAATGAAAGAGAGTTCTTTCACACTGAAATAACATTTTCCTGCTCTCAAAGCATATGTTATACTTCTACTCCCCCAGAAACAGCAAATGAAAGCACAGAACTTGCTTTATAGAGTTCTAGTAGTCTGCCATCTTCTGGAATTTTTGGGAAAGTGGAGGAAAAGCAAGTTAAGCACAGAAAAGAGAACTCTAACTGCATAGTACATTTGCAGCAGTGAGCAGCGGAATGATCTCAGAGAAAAACTATTATCTGTATTTTATATTCCCTCAGAAGCTAAGAGACCATTGTGGCAGCCAAGTATGGAAATAAGTCCAAAAAACCTGAATCAAAACCTTAACAAGAACAGCAAAGTGCCTTATGTCCACATCCCACATCACACTAGAAACACTTACCTGCATGGATGAACTGAGCACATGGGAGGTGGAGGAAGGTGAGGATGGTTTTCAATGGTCACAGTCTTCTTGACATGATCTTGACTAATGTCTTCATACATATGCTCTACTGTTAAAGGCTGCCGCTGCTACAAAGAAAAAAGGAACACTCCATCAAAAGCATTACTAAAAAAGAATTTTTTACTGCTTCTTAGTAGTTCTAGCATCACGAACACATGTAGTACTGTAAGTCACAAGCACAACAGTTCTGAAAGTACACTGAAAATACAGATTGTGTTAAAATTCATACGGTGTTGAAATAGTACTACATAAAACCTTGCTTTTAGTATATAAGGTGAATGGTCAATTCTATATACAACAACCAAGGCCCTGGTTCCCATCTAGGTACCTGAGTCATAAGCCCTCATCAACTTTGATCCAAGAAACTTAGCTAGTAAAAGGGAAGTGATTTATCTAATCTTTTTATCACAATAACACATGTTTAGTTGTCTGAATTGACAGGGGTTATTTCTCTTAGCTTCTCTTAGAGCAATAGCTTAAAAAATAACAGTGCACAATCCCCCTTTTTGCAAAAATACTTAGTTATCAAGCACAGTTTTTCAGTGAAATAATTTCTGTGTCCTGCAACCCTAAAAGCCGTGTCTGCAATCCTGCCTGCATAATGGCTTCCTCACCATTTCTTCCTTTCAATTTGCACTGTGATTTAGAAAGTAATAACAAAGTAGCCTTGTTATCTGACTTGGTCTCATTTCACAGAAGTGGGAAAACAAACAAACAAAGAAACTTCGCTGTACCTCATCATATCCAAATAACCAGAGCCTTGGAGTTTGGTAATACTTGTCGTAAGTGATGTAGAGGTCATAAGTTCTAGTCTGTAGAATAGCATCTTCCCCTCCAACATCAACTTTGGCTTTGTTAACTTCTACAATCTGTCTTGTGTCAAGTGTTGCCTGGTTTTCAAGGTGAAAATGACAACATTAGTATAGTCCTGTTTGTATTCCCTCTTGTCCCATCCTATGCAGCTAGGTAGGGCTGCAAGATCAAAATAAATGTTCTCCAGTGTACATTAAGAAATACAGGCTTTTAGGTTTTGTTTTCAGTCTTCAAAGAAGTAATATAAATTTCTCTCCACTTTTTTTTGTTTGTTTTTTAAGACACGATTTCTCAAGGAAAGGTGCAACTACGTTGTCCTACCCTCTTCCCTTCTTCCACCAAAAACTTTTAAACAAAAAAGACAATCCCAATGAAATTCACAAGGCAGGTCTCAGATTATGCAGGTTTCATGAAAACCTCAGAAAAGTGCCTCCAAACAATGATGCCCTGTCTTCCCTCATTAGATTCTGGAGTGTGCATGCAATTAACGGAACCTATAAGACACTCCGTCCACCACATACAGGTTTTAGAACAACCACCACACTTTATAACTTGTGAATTGAGCATAGTATGTAAGCAGAGCAAAACAGAACAGCAAAGAAAGCAAAATTACTGCGGTCAAAATTTCTAAGGACCTATGAGTTAAGGTAGTCAGGAAGGAGACAAATCCATAGGAAACCAAGCTCAGGAATCCCACTGCTCCTAATAACCTTATGTGAGCCACTTATCATCTTTATTTTTACTCTGCCTGTGCTCATACTGGTGATAAGTATTTTAACAGACAAGACAGAACAGTTCACTCACATCATCTGTCTCCAATAGCCCACTTTCTTCATATTCTGAAAAGAAGACCCATAAAATTCTGTGTTCAGTTCACAGCTAGTTGTCATATTTCTCATTCTCATTGTCACATGTACAAAAAAATGTTTCACTCGCATAGATTTCCCAACCCCCAAACCAGACTAAGCCTTTTTTAATACAAATGTGACACAGCCTACAAGTACATGATAAACAATCCTTAAAAAAGTGGTTTTTAGTTGACGGATTAGGTACAGCCATGTAGCAGGAATGAAACTATGCTAAATTCCTAATTTTTCTTTGCTTCTATGTTGCTACTCAAACCTATTCGCCTGTCAATAGTCATTGAGATTTCATCACACAAATTAAACATGCACCAATAAGACCATACAAAAGATAATAAAGGAGATCTGCCTGCTGATTATTGTTAGCATGCATTCTGTAAAAATAAAGTAGTATTCTCTTAAAGTGTACCACTATAGCTAAAGGCCTGAAAAAAAAGTGCATCCCATTCAATTACGGAAATACCTTCCATGTCTGCAGCTTCTCCTTCATCTTCCTCGTCATCATCTTCACAGGATGCTGATCGCTCTGGTATTTTTATATTATCCTTTAGATAAAAAGTAAAAATTGAAAGCACTACTTTAAAGACAGCTGCATTTAAGATGCCCCAGCAAATCTCAAGTATTTAGGTCCAGTCAAAACAGCCGTGCAAAAAATAAATAAATAAATGAAATAAAATAATCTGCAATACTAACAAGGACTATACTGAACTCAAACATTAGTCCAGAATGATTCTATTTATATGTAAAGAATAATCACAAATAAAGTATTACACAGCCATAATTTATTTTCAAATAACCCACTTGCCTCAAATGAAAGCCCACAACTAGACATGCAGATTACGACTTTCTATAAACTAAGCCACAAACAAGCCCTCAAACAACTTTTGTGCCTATGGATAACGTTTGAATCCAACAGACAATTCCAGAGAAATTCAGAGAGGGAGGCCTCAATTTATGCCAATGTCATGAAGACTTCAAGAGAATACTCAAAACAATGATTAGAATTAGGAGCTGCTCTAATTATAAGGAAAACAAAACAAAACATAATCAGTACATAACTATGTCGTTGAGTACTTCAGCAAATGGTACATAAGCAGAAAAAGATTTGTCATTCTGGATTGGCCTTGTGATCCAAGAAATGAAGTACTCTACATGCAGATTTTTTTTTCTGTGTACAAAACAGAAGTGAAATCCTTAACACAACAGCAGTTACACATCCAATAAGGTTCTACAGTTACATTTTGTAGAAACGCCAGTCACCTCCAGGTGATTCTTAAGAGAGTTTTTTCTACCTTTACGTAAATGAGTTGTCAAAAAGTTGTATTTTCACAGTGTTCAGTACAGTCTCACTTGGATGAATTTCACAGTTAATCACATCAACAGAGTTTGAGTTGCTTACAATTTCCGTTCTCTTTCCATCTAATCTTCAGAATCAAAAAGATTCATGCTTGGATGGTTTCACACATTCTTAAATGACACAAATAGAACTCCACTCGAGCGTTCATCATTAAAATCATTTTGCCCTTTGTGACATTCTCCCCATCTCTTAAGCACATTAGCTATTACACATATCCATTTCAATTTCTGTTCTCAGTTTCATGAGGCCTTAAGTTTCAGATTTGGATCCTGCTACCGAGTGATTTTTTGGAAACGTACAGAAACTGATGACTTTGTAAGCTATTTAAACAGTGCTAGTATGTCAGTGAATGTGAGGGCATCAAACAGGACTTAAAGAGTTTAAACACTACTGCAAATGAAGTTTAAAGATTATGAATAAATACTTCCTACTCCTGCATTATTTTTCCACAAAAAAAAAAAAAGATTATTTACATTGGATCACCAAACATCAGCTTCTTGAGAAACAAGGGGAGTTATCACTGTAAATTCAGGTGCATTTTCAGTTTGTACAAGCTTGGCACAAGAGCACACTAGTTAAACACAGCCTAAAAAGAACACCGCTCTGGTAAACACATGGTAATGTAGAGATTACATGCTTAAATCTGTATCACAGCTATGAAGGTCAACGAATATCTGCAACACATCTAGTGACAAAGAGTATTCTAGACTTTCAGAAACAACACTAGATTGCTGCAGGGAAGATCTCTATTACCTTTATGTCCAATAACAAAGAAAAAAAAATAATTCCAAAGCAAGTACCTTACAGTCTAGAGTGATCTCCTTAACTGCTTCTGTTGCACCCGCTATACCTGTTAATTGAACAGCAAATTTGCATTAAAGAAGCCTGCTTCTTTGTTACAGAACACTACAACGAATTACAAGGAACTCAGAAAGCAGCATATGATCATTCCTATTACACCTCACAACAATTCTATAGATTTGAAAGGCTATTTATTTGGTGTTGGCAGCATGCTTGGAGCTGGACATCCATAAACAGACCATGCTAGTAATGCATAGCACAATAGCACAGCTCTTATGCTGCAAACAAATTTTGTTGATGGAATAACTGCAAAGTAATTTGGATTTTTTATTTTAAGGATCATTGGCACAAAGAATGAATTCACAATGTGAATTCTCTCAGCTTCACAAGCAAGGTATGCTTCATTAGTTGTTTCGAAGCATCTTGAAGGCAAAGTGTTGACAACAAAGCAGAAACATGGTAGCACACAATGCTTTCAGCTGAGAAGAAGTGGAAGTAAAAAACACCCCAAATCACAGCAGTATCAATATTTCAATGCCTCCGCATTTGATTCCCACTTTTATTATAGCACTCATTTGCTGCTCTTTGGGATACACAACAACATTCTGCTTTGGAACAGTAAATGAATCTTCTTAACTGCTCAGGTGAGAAGTTATATCATGAATGAATGAACTTGAAATCAAGTTACTGTCCCGCAGAAATGCAAAAATGGACCTTAATTGCTTAGGAAAAGGGATGTCAGGTGAATGCTGCTCAGAAACAACGTATTTCTAGTGGAAATGTGATTGTTTACATGCAGTTTTGCCACACACACCAAAAAGTGTTGTTACAAAACTTATCAATACAGATGAAAGGAAATAAATTTTTACCTCCTAAGATTGTTCAGAGACCCAGCTAGATCTAGTTAGAAGTCTTATGGCTGTACTAGCAAAGCACAGGAACCAAATCAATCAACCCAAATAATCTCACCCAATAAAACAAAAAAACCCACACCCAAAACTTGACAGAGTAGAGGAGAAGGCATACCTAATTAAAGAATATGACAAAGCTATCTCACATGATTTCCTCGCGGAGATGTGTTCAATTATGAAGAGCAGGAAGAAGAATTTCCAGTGATCAAAAATACACATTTACAGAAGCAAAAGCATCTTCTTGCACCCCTGCTCTCCTCAGTATGGCTAAATTATTTAATGAGAGAAGATTTGCCAGAATACATTTTTGCCAGAATACAGCAAAAGAAATTACACTGAAAAAAGTAAAGCTGACTGAAATATATTCCAGCTTTGGAGGCAGTAGAAGACAATGTAATTGAAAGATTGAATTTAATCAACTCATTACAGCTCATGAAGAAATTGATTAAAACTAATAAAACTGCCATTTCTCAGAAAAGGACAACGTGGTTTACTAGAAGCTGTGCTACATAGGATCATAGAATCACAGAATCCTAGAATGGCTTGGTTTTGAAGGGACCTCAAGGATCAACAAGCTCCAAATCCCTGCCACATGCAGGGCCACCAACGTCCCCATTTAATAAAAGACCAGACTGCCAGGGCCCCATCCAACCTGGCCTTGAACACCTCCAGGGACGGGGCATCCACAACCTCTCTGGGCAGCCTGTTCCAGTACTCATAACTCTGCTGGTAAAGAACATCCCCTGATATCCAACCTAAATCTTCCTTCTCTCAACTTAAAACCATTTCCCCTTGTCCTGCTGTTATGTACCCTTGTAAAGAGTTGGCTACCCTCCTATTTGTAGGCTCCCTTTAGGTACTGGGAGGCTGCAATGAGGTCACTCTCCAGCCCTCTCTTCTCCAGGCTGAACAAGCCTGATAATGAGACAGATCCCTGTAAGCAATAATTTTTAGACACAAGCTCATTAAAAATAAAAAAGGATCATCTTTCACAGTCATCACCTTATTTAACAATATTTTTAGCCCTTCAAATGACATCAAATACTAGGAGCTGTTTTCTAATTGTTCCCCTTTTTAACTCAAACCCAACAAATTAACAAAATCGGAAATACTACAATCATTAAGACTCTTTGCATCATCATTTAAATATCAAAATCCTTCACATGCAATCTGACTAAAAGCAGAAATTACTATGTTCTTGACATATATTTTAAACCAGTGTTCTCTTTAAGAGAAGATCTCTTTGCTAAAGAATGAGCCAGTACACAGCCCCTAGCTTCCCCCCTGGCAATAACTTCCTAGAACTTTTCTAAGAGAATACCAAAATAACTAAAATACCATTGACATCGCTGAAAAGCAGCCTATTTCAGACACATACAGGCATACAGTTAAATATGTCATACAAGCAGTCATACACAAAGCACGTGGGTTTCTGGCACAGTAACATACTTTCTTCCAGATTAGATACACAGTCAACCGCATGAGAAAGATTTTACTTTCTAATAGTGGAAACTGATAATCTTATTGATTACCAAATGCAAAGTTTGAAGCAAGACTCTGAATACCTGCATTGTGAAAGGTGTCTACCCATCCCCCATCACCATCATCTTCTTCTATAATTGCCTCCTGCTCATCTGAGTACTCCATCTGCTTGCACCTTTTGTAGCACGGTACTGCAAAAAATTGCAAAACAAGATGACTGCAGCCATTCCTATACAAAATCAGATTGATGCAAGAAACTTTTCTACAAGGTCTTCTGAAATATAGTTAGCTCATATCTTTATTTAAGGAACCCTGGATATATATATTTCAAATGAAATTAATTATGCTGATGAGCTGTAAGCGGTGTTTTATCTCACTACAGCACATCACTTGAGTTGCTGCAAGTTCATTCTTCTTCTAACAATTAGAACTTTCACCCAAACTCATAAGCACCAGAAACAAATTAACTTTTCATGTGTCTTTATGCTACCTATTAATTTGCTAACAACTAAACTACTGCTAAACACTAAATTACATCTAGCCCAAGTACAATGTTGCCTACATTACCACGAGTTTACTGAGCTGATTTGTCTCTAGAATTCTTTTAAAAGTTTGTATCAGATATTTACTGTTAAACGTACCTAATTTATCATGCTAATTAACATCTACAAGTTTGGAATAGGCTAAAATTAATTTGTTAATTAAAGCAACTTCAGTCATACGTATTATATTGCCATTTAAGTACAATTTAAATATAATTTTCAGAAAACAGTCACAGAAAATGCGGATCCAGTTAAGACAAAGCAGACTCTTTCCAATTGCATAAACGAGCAGTACAACAAAAATGCTAATTTTCAGAAAGAGAGAAGAAGGCTTGAAAGTCACAGTGAAAGAACATTCTCCAAAGACTTCCAAAATGAAGCCTGTAGAATGGCTTTTGGCTTCACCCTTAGCCCACAGCTTCTACTCAGGTGCTTGGCCAATGCGTCACTACCAGTAGAAATAGCACAAACACATTGCTTTAAAGCGTGGCCTAGGAAGCTCACAGCAATGTGGCACCCTGGAGGGAGTAGAAGAGATAAACAAAGTAGATCACCTGGCCATTCAGCTATCAAGACTATCTCACTGAAGTCTGTCCAACACTAGCACTAACATCTTCATATGACAGTTCCCTATAGTTCCCTGCAAGACTTCAAAAGCTTGCAAGTGACATCAAAGCATGAAATACAACTTCCAGCAGGTAAAAAAACTTTTGAGGATCTTCACAGTATTGCAGGTACCTCTAATTACATTATCTTTGACACATTTTTATACAAAATCTCTCAAGAAAACAATTCTACCATGGTACTGCCAATGCACATCAATGTACAGGTCTCTCCTGTATTTTCTTGAAAAGGTAGTCATCATAAGTATTATACATACACACAATTGTGAACTTGATGAAAACTGGATTTAAAATTGCATTTCATATAACAGTATAATATAAATTATTGAAAGGAACAGTGACATACCAGAAGCACTGGTATGACAATTCTGGGAACTTCAATAACCCACCATTTCCAAAAGGAGGTGTAAAATAAACATATCTTATTTATTTAAACTTAATAAACCAATTATGATCCAAAGGGTGGAGGAAAAAAAAAGATAGACAAGGACAATAGACAAGTTTATGGCATTTACTCTTCATTTTTACTTCATCAAAAGAAACTGCACTGCTGGTATAAAGTCCTGGTAATAACAGATAAAAGCACATTCAGATGTGCAGGAAAAACTTCTAGTATCACAAGAACAAAATATGCTTCAATTGTCAATACAGGCAATGAGTAGAGTTGACAGCACAATCAACCATGCTGTCCTAAACACACTTATATTTAAACTTCAGCCTTACCATTTTTAGTTACCAAAAATTGTTTGTCTGTTGGCAGATAAGCCTTGACTTTTAGCTCTTCTCCTGAAGCCCTGCAAAACAAAATGCACCACAAAAAGGTTGGGAATTTGATGACGTGCAAGCAAAAGAACCCTATTTTCAATCTACATCAAGAGTATTTTATGTACTCCTTTTGAACTCTTAACAGAATTTGTTTGCTATAACTTTGCCCTTGGTTATATAGAGACTTCGATATCTGTATGGGATCAAAAAAAGTTGGCCATTCCTAAACTATCAAGTCTTGGATTACAAATATTTTCTGCTTCAATAACCACCTTCACTTTGAGATAGCCTAGCAAAGATGGGTTGACAAAACAATCTAGTCTGTAAGAAACATACTAGAATCAGCAATAACATAGTACCAAGCATCTCTAGAAAGCAACTTCAGAAAAAGAAACGGAAGTTATAAAACCTGTCCATAGTAACCAGACTCCAGTAATTTTGCTAAGCTCACATTATTCAGAGCACTTTCTTTTACCTTCCTTGCTTTTTGGTTTGGAATAAAAGTCTTCTAATCTACTAAATAATCTGCTGCAAACTATGTGCATAAAGCTTATGTACAGACATGATTCAGCATCTTATTTTTTCTGAAGACAGTAAAATAGGCAAGAAACTGATTCAAGTATAACAATTCTTTATCTGTTCACGGTCCAGAATGATTTGTTTTATAATGCAAGATACTAATAAAATGTAAGAAAGTACCCTGTTTGCACCCCCCACTGCGTGTGAATAACAATGAATTTCCCAGAACAAACACAGCACAAAGCAACCTGGCGTGGGTCTACTTGAAAATATTTAACCAAACTCTTGCTTAAAACATACCAATTACAACTTGTTCTTAGCAATTCTGTTTGGACATGGCCTTTTGTTTTTTTTAAACACGAAAGACAAACTTGGGAAGAGACACTGCCACCGCAGCTAAGTACTGAAAGCATGCATGGTATGTACAAGTTTATTTCCACCAGAGCCTTTGGAGAACAATAACAACGAAAAAAACCCACAAACAAACCCTTATTTTCCATACTGCTACAAAGAATAAAAAAGACCTGTTTGACTTAAAGTTCAGATATCTTCATCATAGAGATAGAGTAGATTGCACCGCAAGAGTCAGAGTACTATTCTGAAATGAGACAATTGTACGGTTGTATCCAATGGAAACACATCAAAGCATAGGTATGTAAGGATGCTACAACTTTGTGCAATTCTTTTGTGTATACTTACCATTGCCAAGTAGGACAGTGGTGAACTAAGTGATCGCCAGCTGCGACAAACTGTTAAGGCAAGAAAAAATTAAAGAACTGTTAAATATAGCATAAGAAAGCAACATGCAATTCCTGCAATACTATTTATATTTCAGTTGCATATTCCTCTGATACTTATTACATAGTTAATCTGTTTAAACTTTGTTTGATGCTTTCTTTCAACTATTTTTCAGCTAATCATAAAATGACTTACAAAACTAAATCAACTTCACCTGAAGGAAACGCATACTAACCACTGTTTCTTAATCCAAGTTACATCATTGATTTTGTGAAGGATAAATTACTTTTATTTGCTACTCTTCATGTTTTACAAAGACATTGAAGAGATTAATATGAGATGCATAACTGAACTTAAGCTTTCCATCCAAAATCAATCCAGTAAAAACTTTATGTACATTTATTTGAGTTTCAGCTACAAAAAAAACCCAAAAATTTAATTCTCTTCTAGTGTTCACAACAATTTTGCAGCAAGAACAGAAGCAAGACCGTCACTACTTCATTGAATTAGTGAGAGAACTGCAACAGAGGAGTAAACAGTATGCTTTAAGAAGTGAGCACCAACCACCATATTTCACCACTGGCATTTACTAGATATGGATAACCACACACTTAGTAAATTGAAAAAACTTACGTAGAACGTTGTTCCAAACAAAGAACTTTTAAAAATCTTCACTCTACTTTTTCTTAGTATCAAAGATAACAGCTATTTCACCATGCAAAACTGTACCAACTCAGAATCTACCCAGCATAATCTAATGATAACAATGATTATATAATAATCATATATAATGATTAATGAAATATAATCAAATATAATGATTTCTGTGTTCCATGCACTAGTTCACTTTGAAAAGAAGATACACACCTAATGCTACAGTTGTTTTCTTTTCTTAGAATGCCAATTTACAACAACATATTTGTAAGCTGCCCACAAGGCGTTATGGCGTGATACAGCAGGCTTGCAGCATAAGCATCAGCCATTTTCTCATCGTGCCTTCCAATGCAAAGGCTCAGCACACAGTGGAAAATACCAGAACATGTACTGCATATGAGTTAGCAGACCTGATCTCTGCAAAAGTGAACCGTTTCAACCATTCTCCAAGAGAAGCCTCTAGCTGAAGTGAAATTTTCAATTTAAGGAAAACTGTAATCCCTTCCAACACACAGGGAAATTAAAAAAAACAACAACAACAACAACAAAAGCATGCACTAGGCTTTATGTGATAATAAACACCACATGGAAATCCAGAATCATCTAAAATTCTCTGTCCAGGGAACTGGAACAGCGCTTGCAGCTCCGCTGTTAAAAGACATTATTCAAGATGAAAAAATTCAAAGCATTCTTTGCAGGTTCTGTAATACAAAAAACCTAAAACAATCTCTAAATTTCACTTGCATTTTTCTTCAGCTTGGACTGCATAATTAAATCAGGTGGTTTCACTTTCTGTTTCTCCTGTGCTACTGCTATCGTACCTTAGCCGGTAACACAAAAGTGACAAGAGAACAATTTTAGGACAACATCTTACTTCTACTCTTGAAAAGAATTATTTTAAAGATTTGCCCATGCTCACATATGAAATTTAAAAGGCTATCTTTATGAGTTATTAATTAACAAGAACACCTGGCAGGCAAGAACTTGCTGAAATTACATCAATTACACAGACCCCAAAAAAGAGTACTAATGTTGAATTTGATTAGTCATCATTAGTGTTATTATGGAATGGTTTGGGTTGGAAGGGATGTCTAAGACCACCCAGTTCCAACCTCACTGCTATAGACAGGGACACCTCCCACCAGACCAGGCTGCTCAGAGCCCCCATCCAGCCTAGCCTTGAATAGATTCATCTTCACAGACAAGCCACAAGATCATAGAACCATTAAGATTGGAAAAGACCAATAAGATCATCCAATCCAACCCCAACTCATCCCCACCATGTCCACTAAGTCATGTCCCTCCTCACAAAGTTTACCACAGTGGTATCTCAGACTAAGATGCAGGAAAAACAAGTTAAATTGAAATTCATTACTTGGGAAACCCAAACTCATTCAAAGATAACATCCTACCATCATCACAGGTGACTTCAACTCTTTAGCAATCACTATTCTATAAAGAACAAAACCATCAGTGAGTAAAAAGGTTCTCAAAGAGACAATAAACAGGTCCACGCTTCAGCCCTACCTAAGTTTAAGAAAACAATTTGTCTTGCTAGATAACCATTTCTCTTGAGTACAGCTTTGAAGGATTCAATTTATTCATCCTATCAGTATCTGTGTTTACACAGATAATACATATTATTTGCATTATTTTACTGACCCATAAATACTGCAAACAGCTTAATGTAGCATAGAGTGTTTCTTGCCACTACAGAAACTATCTTTTCAGTTCTACTATGGAGTTCCCTCCTTCAGATCAAGAAGGGATTAGGCACTAGTACATTCATTTACACTTTCTCTGTAAAGTTATACTTGTTTTATATAGAAAAAACAAATATATTAGTATGTAAAACATATAACCATCTACACATATATATTGTTATCAATACAGCAGAACACTTTGTTACTAAGCCTGTTCTTCAGAGTACTGCTCTTCTGGATGACAGAGAGCACAAATGTTTGCATGTCTCGTAACACAGCAGAACAATACTAGCTACCAACATTAGGAAAAACACTCCTGCCCATACTAGCTGCAGTTGGTTTAATTTCATCTTCATATCTGTAAGTCATCACATTTTTCTTTCATTCTACCTAACTGTTCAGTAAGGACAACGTATTTTCAGAACAGTAGCATTTTAATGGGAGAAGAAGCGCAACCAGGAAGCCCAAACAGCACTGCATATTCAGTGCTTTTACAATTCTAGAAAAATTCTTTTTTTCCTCTTTAAAAATTGCAATTGCTTGGCAGCATGAAACCGCCTCCGGGGGGGGGGGGGGCAAGAGAAAAAGAAAAGTGTTGAATGAATGCTTACCGTAGACAAGCATATATAATGATTTAGCCATAGTCTTGGAAGGAACCAAAAGTGAGGTAAGCAAGATACAGTACTAAATTTACCTCATGAAATGTTTATGAGAAAAGCCTTTGAAATAAACATATTCCTGTTAACCCCCCAAGACAAACGGAGCTGTTGACCCAGCAAAAACTTTCTAACTAGTGTTTTAGGACATAACACAGGAAAAGACATCCCACGTTCAGATCTCAAGAAGAATTCTGATGCTGACCTACTTCACCTGTAGGCTAAGAAGGCTTTTTTTTTTTCACATTGTGGAAATTGTTTCAAGAAGGAATACTTAACTGACAAAGAAGTAAACTGTTTGAGATGAGCACAGTCACTTTGAGTAAAAATTATCAGCACTTTCACAGTTTCCAAATGTATTTCAAAGGTTCTAAATACTTACTTCTTCAGGTGTAATGACTCCAGTTTCTTTAAATTTGGATTCCTGCAATAAATAAAAGGTAGAGATTTTGAGCTCGGCTGGCAAATCAACATATTCACTTTCCTGGTGACAAAAATATCTGCTCAGTCCACATAGATCTGCAAAGCAGCTTGGAGGCAGCCTCTGCTTATGCTGATACCTCCATATCCTATAACATAAGGCCTGATAAAATTACTTTGTAGCAGACTTGGAGGGGGGGAGGGGGGAACAAGGTTCATGATAAGATTACAAAGTGGTTTTTAATTTATTCTTTTTTGCTTTTGATAGAGTCAGTTATGTCAATAATAATAAATATATTATAAAAGTAATAATAATAATAAAAAAAACAAACAAGAGAAAGAGGACACCTTACACTCTGTATTACATTTACCAGTCAGAGACAGAAAAGCAGCTGGAAATAATGATCTTTAGAATAACAATTTTGAGACTGTTTAAATACTGAATGACAGCGTAATGCATCAGTATGTGGGTTTCTAGGTCATGAAATGAAGGACTGAACCAGCGTTCACCTGTGATAAGAAAAGCTGCAATGACTGTTACTAAATCTTTTTGGTACCCATTTTGTTTTGATGCATTCATTATACACACCATAGAACCAGTTATGATTACAACAGATGGCAAACAGCCACGTAATTTAGTTTTGCATAGAAAAATTAAGATCTTTTGCATTAAAGACAACATCTATGAAGTTTAAGACTACATTTTCAGCATGATCAAATTTGGAGAGAGAGTACTCTGTTTATGATTCATTTGTTTTTTCATTCAGAAAAGCCTCAAGGAAACCTACAGTTTTTCAGCTATTTAAGCAGAACTTTTGAAAGAATATAAATTTCAAGGATGGCATAGCTCACTTTTCAAGTCATCAATTACTACATAGCTTCTTGCCCTGAAGAACTCACGATTCTTTCCATCAAGACTAAAAGCAGCAAACACAAAGGATTTTGTTTGGCTACAACTTCAGCAGGTTCAGTCACTGGGAAAGCATTAAAGAAAACCAGCTGCTACTTAACTTAGTTCTTCCCGGCGCTTGACCCTGGTGCACACTACCACCTGCGCTATATAAAAGGAAACAAGCTCACCTATTTCACAGAATCACAAGGTTGGAAAGGACCCACAAGATCACCCAGTCCATCCTCTCATTATGATTTCTAACGCAAGCTACTAAACAATATCTCATAGCTCCTTATCCAGATGCCTCTTGAACCCTGCCAGGGATGGCGACTTCACCAGATCCCAGGACAGGGGAGGTATTCATGAATACCTGATCCCTTTCTCTCCCATTATGTCTCTGAAGAAGAGACACTGAAGTGAATGATTAATGATAAACAAACTGGTTGTTGTGCAAACATCACTATATGCACTGCTATACGCAGTTAACAAAAATAAAAAAAACTAAAGAACTAATTTAGCAATTAGGATTACTATAAAAATTGAGAATAACATATTATGCAACACCTCGTTACAGTCTACTTACTATTTAACCTCAAAATTATCCATACACTTTATGCAACAAGAACAAGCTTGTAGTTCTGGAATTACATTAGGAAAAATGTAAAATAACCACTCTCTGTTCCCAGAGGGTAAATCGTTCACTTTTTTTAATCTATGTGCATCATGTGGTATGCAAGCCTAGCACAAGACACAGTAGCTAAAGTTAATTTGTGAAGTCAAGAAATCAGCGTACTTGCTTAAATCCCCTTGTAAAGGGAATACATACATGTTATCATCACCTCCCACCCATGAGAAGTTCCACAGCCCCCCAGCATATCTGAGCACAAAAACTCCTCTGCTGTTCACATAATAAAATACCAGTTGTGCAACAGCCATACTGCAGTGAACAAGCCATATTTCCACACAACTTCACAGCAGCAGATGGCTCGCACTGGTGGTGAAACCTACAGAGACAGACTATCCAGGCAGGAGCATGTTATTTGCTTTAAAGGGACAAGTTCAATTAATAACTGCATATCACCAACTTCTGTCCAAGGATCCAGGTTGCACAGTACAAGTCATGTAGAAGGTCACGCAGCAGAACTATAGCCAGAGAGCTTGTTGTTGTAGGCAATTACAGCAGGCATACAAGGGTTGCTGCAGAAATAACGCCCCCTATTTTATTAAGTTGGTCTACAATGTCAGAGGTAGATGTAGGTGATATGGCAGGATTGAACACTCCCACCAATATTCCATTACATTTGGTTGCCGTGTGACAAATGGCAGCAAAGGGGAAGTACAATAAAATGGTGTCTGACCTATGAGTGTGGATGAAATGAAGATGTGCCACTGAATTCCTCCACGCAGAAAACATGGCTGCTACTGACATTCATCGACACCTGCTGAGCATTTCTGCAGACCAAAACAGTGGATGTAGTGAGCTTCTTTACAGTGAGGGTGACAGAGCACTGGAACAGGCTGCCCACGGAGGTTGTGGAGTTTCCCTCTCTGGAGATTTTCAAGACCTGCCTGGACACCTAGTTGTATGATCTGGTGTAGGGAGCCTGTTTTGGCAGGGGGGTTGGAATTGATGATCTCTGGAGGTCCCTTCCAACCCCTCTGACTCTGACATGGGCACAGCAAGGTGGTGAGTGGTGTGTTTCAGCAGTGGCAGCAACTGGTCATCTCCAATGATGCAGATTTTGATGAGTGGCATGCAGGCTCTTGTTCATTGCTGGCAAAAATGCACAGCTAATGCTGGTGCCTATGTTGAGCAATCATGATTTGTAGCCGGGTATTTTCTCTGCCAAATACTGTTATTGTATTCAGTGCATTTGTTATAGCTTCCACAGAAATAAGCAGGAGGCATTACTATTGGAGTGGCTACATATTTTAATGAAAGCATGGAAAAAGTCTGAAAGTCAGTAGTGAGAGAACTGCTGGGAAGTTAAATATTTCCATACAAAGTCAACTTTTGAATAGGAAAACAGTTGAAAACTGAAGGTAGAATATATTACGAAATTGAGAAATGGAGAAAAAATAAAAAAAAAAAAAAATCACTTCATACCTACCTAAGCAAGCAGGAATAGATTTGCTGTACACCTTTATAAGCATATTATTAGAGGAGACCATGAAGAATTTCTACTGTTTGCTGTTACGTCGTGCAGATGCTTCCATTTATTTAGCAATGCTGATACAGCCAGCCACGCTATACAGCTTTATAGTTGCGCACATAACGGAGACTTGATGAGTTTGTTTCTTTCTGTCAGCTGAGAAAGCTGCACTCTTACCCAAAGACCCACTGCAACCCACCCCTGAAACCACACTCAAGCCTACCACTGCACAAGCACGCTTGGCTTCCATCCCTGCTCACACAGGCAAACGTTCAGCCACTTCAACACAAAACGATGACAGCAGACAAGCCGTTCTTCCAGCAACCCGCCGCCGCCTCCCGAGGCCTGCCACCATCATCTTCCCCCACCTCCCCAAGGGATGCTCCAGCCCTGACGGAACGCAAAGCGCAGCTCAACCCCACGGAAGCAGGCAGCTGCCCGCTCCCTCCTTTGGAGCCAATTCGCAGAGGCGGGGCGGCGCCCTCGCGACCCTCGGGGCGTCAGCGCGGCCTTCACAGAGAGGGCGGCCACCCACTCCTCCCCCCTCCCGGAACGCCTAGCAAGAGAACGCGCTGGGATCTCCGCGCAGAGCCGGCACCTTGAGGACGGGAGTGAGGTACTCGGCCACCTCCAGGGCCTTCCCCTTCACCGTGTTGATGACGTTCTGCATGCCGCCACAGGAAGGCCACGGGAACGATCGCCGCAGCCAACGGTCACGGCGGCACCGGCAGCCCCGCCCCCTGTCCCGGCCACGTGACCCGCCGCCCGCTCCGTCGCGCACACGTACCTCATGTGCGCACGCGCAGGCACAGACCAAGACGGGAAGCCGACAGCTTTTCTTGCACTCGTCCCCGAAAATAAACGTATGCGTCACGTGGTGGGGAGAGAAATCCGGAAGTAAACCTGGATCACGTGGGTAGTTGTCATGGAGAATGAGGCGGCGGAGGAGGGGCAGTCGGGGCGCGCGCTGCCGTCCGTCTCGGGGAGGGTTCCGCCCCGTTCGGCTCCGCCCCGGCAGGTGAGGCCGGTGGGGAAGCGGGAGAGGGGCAAGGTGCCGGGGATGAGGACCGGGAGAGAAAGAGAACGAGCGGGATTAGGGACAGGGTCGCGGTCTTCGTTCCCCACCGGCGACGGGTGTGTTTGACGGCAGCGTCGCCGTGCCCGGTGCCTGGCTGCTGAGTGCAGTGGGGCGGGGAGCTCAAACGGGCTACGGCCGAGGCCTGTGGGAACAGAACGGGGAGAGCCGAGCGTCGGCGGCAGCCGCCCTCTGTCGGCTCGGCTTGCCCCGCGCCCGCGAGGCGGAGACGTGGCAGAGAGCGGCGAGCGCAGCCGCGAGGCTGAGGCGCAGCCGCTGAGGTGGATCGGCGCGAGGCGAGAGACCGTTGACAGCCGGTGCCTGGCGGTGCCGGGGCCGCCACCCTTCCGTCTTTCGTTAGCGGGTGGCTGAACTGCGGAAACAGCCGCCCGGAGCGCGTCTGGTAGCGGACGAGCCGCGGGCGGCCCTGTGCAACTCTCTCTGCTGCGATCGGGAACAGGAGCTGTTTGTGAAAGAGATCGAGGCCGGGTTGGATGGAACCCTGGCAGCCTGGTCTGGTGGGTGACAACCCTGCTCGCGGCGGGGGCTGGAACTGGATGGGCCCTTTTAACCCAGCCATTCTGTGATATACGTACATGTATATTCAAACATAAAAATTCTGTGGAGAAATAACAATGTGTTATTATACATTTACATTATAATTATAATATTACATGTATTTTTTATAAAATTACATTTATAATTATACATTATAATAACATTTATCTTGTTCAGCTGGTGAGTATTCCATAGATATCACTGTGTATGTGAGGTGTTTATTTCCCCCTGGCTGGCCCTCATTTGAAATAAAATGTTGATTTTAGCATGCAATTATAGTTCTCAACACAAACCATTTTGTTTGAGATGAAATAAAGCAATAAAAGGCAGACGTTTCACCTCACCATATCAGCCTCTGAAAGTACTGTTTATAGCATATGTGTGTTGTGTCATCCAAAGGGCACTGACAGCAAGGCAGCAGAATGGAGAGCAAGTGCTGTCGTCGCTCTGCAGTTTGCTCCAAGACAACCATCTACACATTTCTACTTGGAGGAGTCTTCATTGCTCTGGGCTCAAGTCGAATCCTTCTGATGAAATATTCTGCTAATGAAGGTATTGTTGGACAATAAACGTAATGAACTTCAAATAAGATTTGTTATTTCAGGTGTAACGGATACCCCAAAACCTAGTTTTCCACCTAGTTTTCCATTACATAAACTGAGGCAAAAATTTCACTGTGTCTAACATAGAATAACAATTTGAGGTTGCAAGATATCTGATCCAGTTGAAGATTAGCCTCAAAAGATGAGACAGTAGATTACTTTATAGCTGATTTCCAAATATTAAACTGTGCAGACACTGTTGGTGGTGCATGACCAGTTTATTTGTTTCACAGCACCTTCAGGAGAAGGTGGTATAGTGGTGTGCAAGCTGTCTTAGAGCAAATGTTAGCAAAATATGCTGTCCTTTTAGCAAACGTTAGCAAAATATGCTGTCAAAGAAAAGAAAATCCACGAAGTAGGTCATGTCATCCTGGAAGCTTTCTCCTACTAGGAAAACATACTCTATCACTCTGGGGGGGAAAATATTTCCTGGTTTGATTGTTTTAAAAATGATGGTTAGTTCTTCCAAAAAAAATGTACTGTAAACTGAGAGCAAATGAGGAAAGATTTCAGCCTAGAAGGGCACCTGACTTGTCAAAAACTGACTATCTGTAATAGGAGTGCTAACACTTTGTGTTTATGAGCAGGGGGTCTAATCCTGACTGAAGGGGTTAAAGTATTTCCTTTTCCAGTTGTGAATGCAAAAGGAATCTGATGGTGTACTCTTTACAATTTGCTGAATCCCACAGATAACAAGTATGATTATCTTCCTACAACAGTGAACATATGTTCTGAAGTAGTAAAACTGTTCCTGTGCGTGGTACTGGCTCTATGGGTTAAGAAAAAAGGTGAGTACATATGTTTCAAGTAACTAAGATGTGTTGACTTGCTAAGATTTATTATACTTCATATCATTTTTTTTTTTTATTACCTTCCCACTAATAGATTCACATGTAATGGCATGAAGTCCTGACAGTAATGTTCTCTGGAATTATGTCTTTGATACACAATTATAACCATACTTATTATAACTCCAATTTTTCCATTCAATTCAGATGTTCTCAAGTTGTTTGTATGATAGCAGAAATGAGGATAATGAGTTGAGTTAGAAAGTGTAATGAAGACAATCTAATCTTTTTGAAATTTTAGCACAGCATTGGGCAAGGGTAATAGGAGTTGCCTCACTGTGAAGACATGACTGAAAAGATGCTTGTTACTGGCTACCCTTTGGGTGCTAAATGAACAGATCCTCCATCCATGTCATTATTTCTGATCTAAATGAGATTGATAATCAGCTGATACTGATGTGACTATTGTGTGGGGGCTTTCTGGAGTGCTTTTTGGTCCTCAAAGAATGATTATGATGTGTTTTTGCACCAGTGGAGAAATACTCTGATAGGGTTAAAGGATTCTCTAAGCATCTTTTTGCTGTTTCTGTTCAGCCCTAGAACAGAACAAGACAAAATGGCAAAAGAAAAAAAAAAAAAGGAGAGCAGAGCTAGAGATTGCAAATTTTGTTTTAATTCTCACGTGAGAAACCACTTGAGAAACCCTAATTCAGGTTTCTGTCTTGTGGACAGATTAGCAAAATCTGCTTAGAGAAGTTGTGGAATCTCCTTTGGTGATAGTCAAGACTTGTCTGGGTGCCTGCCTTCGTGACTTGCTGTAGGGCACCTACTTTAGCAGGTTTAGCAGGCAGGTTGGACTCAATGATCTCTAGAAGTCCCTTCCAACCCCTACAATTCTGTGATTCCTTCATAGTTTCCTTAGTGAAGCAAGGATGTGAATGCTTACAGACACTAGATTTCTGTTTTAGCTGTGTGTTCTGCCTTGGGGCTGTCCTCTGTGTTGCCAGAGAATGCTGGTGACTATTCAGAGGGCTTCAAAATGGACTTCTGATAATAAAAAAGTTGCTTCTCCTATTGATTTGTTTTCCTTCCAGAGGGCTGCTTAGATCATCCATTTGGCTGTCTTTCCTGGAAGAATTTTTGTAATTCCATGAAATGGTCAATTCCTGCCTTTCTTTACTTTTTGGACAACTTGATTGTCTTCTATGTGCTGTCCTACCTCCAGCCAGTAAGTATGCCTGTACTGACTAAAGTATCTTTTAGTGTGTTAATAATTGACAAGACTGACTGTAGGCTATCAGCAATTGCTACATTGACAGTACAAGATTTGCAGGTAAATGAGTCATCTGAACAGCTAGACCATCCTTCCTCCTGCCAGTGATCCAGTTTTACAGCTCTCAGTAGAGGAATGTTTCTGTGCGTTTTCTCTCTCCTAAGTGAGTTAGGAATAGGCTGAATTCCTTAAGTAAGGGGCAGGTTTTTTGTGCTTTCCAATCTTTGGCTTCTTCAATTCTGTATTTCTCTCTCAATGCATTTGCACATGTTGCTGATGCTTGAGTTGCCCTTTTCTGTGTGGCTTCTGCCACTTTATTTACATGACTTCACATGTTGACTTGTTTTCTTTCCTCAACAATTCCAAAGAAAATCAAATAAATGTAATCTCCCTAAGTGAAAAAAGTGTAATGGGAAGTGAGTAGGCAAGGAATAAAACTGTTTGGCTCTCAATTTTTTACTTTTTATTTTTATATAACAATATATGGGACTTAGTTATGTTTAACATGTTTTATTATTTATACTTTTTTTTTCTAGCTACATTCAGCCTTCTGAATGAATCTATGTATACTTGGGAAATATGGTTTTATTGCGCTCTCTCTCTCTTTATGCTAAAGTACCTTTTGGCTCAGAATCTGTTTGAAATTTCATGGAAGCAAACGGTTACTGCTTGCTATAAGATACTGTCTACTCTTTTTTTTACCATTAAAAATCTGTTTAACTGTTTCTGTTCATTCTCTTTCAGGATTTCTTCTCTAAACTAATGTCCTTTTAGATGTGCATTTCTGGTAGGGACAGAACAGAGTCTAGAATAGGACCTGGCTGAAAAAAAAAATGATTAAAATGAATAATCCCCCTAATTCTGTAACTCTTTGTAATTTGGTATTTTAACATTAGTAGATGGTATTTTATTTGTGTTCTTTGCTTTCTTGGAGGGGGGGGGTTGGTGGAAGGAAATTCAGCTATAGCATTTATAATAGCAAAGTCTGATATTTAAAAGGCTACACAATACTTATTGCTTTCTTAAACAGCTTGATTTGGCTGAGTTAGAGCAATCTCTTGTTAAATGTGCATTGCAGATTTTGTGTTGCATGCACACACCCATATGCATTCACATGTAAAACTTTTCTCTCTCCTCAGAACATGTGCACTAGAGTTACTTTTCTTCGGAATTCTTAGTGTCTTTTAGTTTTTACCTGATGGGTAGATAAGACTGTGACACCATCATGGCTAACCAGACAGAAATAGTAAATGAGGTAACCAAATACCTATAAGGTAGAATATCTTGATGGAGTTGCAAAACCCTCAGAGTGAAAAGGCAGATGCAAGATGCCTGAAAGAAGGCAGCCATGCCTGGCTACACTTTGTTTCATGTGAATTTTGACACTAAATAGGCTTTGGACTATGTTATACTTAGGTGAGCAGGCATCTTGACTGTAGAGTTGCTTTGGTGAGGTCTTTTCTCTTGAAGCTTCAGCAGTAACTGCGGTTATTCTTCAGTATTTAATGTATGTTACTGGTAGACTTAATTTTACAAGCTTTTCTTGTAATGCTGGCAGCATGTAGGCCATTAGTGTGGTGGCCTTTTGTAAATTGTTTTCTAATTCGTACTTATGTGAGATTGATGTCCCCTGTGTCCCCAGAATAGAGCAACTCAAAATTAATTCACTTTAAGTATTCTTCCATCGATTTGGGTTGTATTAATGTTACCAGAGATGTTGTTCCATGTATGCTGTGTTTTTGTCTCAGTCAAAAGCTCAATCATTGTTTTGCACGTCATTTGTACATCAATTTTAAGTCTCCTTCTTCCAGAGTGATTTCTACCAGCTCCAGTTCCATCTGTTCATTCATTGTTATTTTCTTCCATAATTTTCACCTAACATGAGTTTTTAACTGAGTTGTAATTTCACGAAGCATAAAATGAAGCTGTGATTTCTTAGGCAGATGTGTCATGTGTCAGCTTACTTAAGACCCCGCGTAGTTTCATGAGGAAGTGATCTGAGAGAGCCAGCACAGCTTCACCATGGGCAGATCATTCTTGACCAATCTGGTGGACTTCTACAATGGAGTTATAGCAACAGTGAACAGAGGAAGGGCAGCTGACGTTGTCTGCTTTGGCACTTTGAAATGATGCTCCAATGTTATTTTAGGGCTATGCTTTCCTACCACTTTGTTAAAGAAAGAAGGTTCAGTACTAGAGTGATGCTTTCCACTCTGGTCTCCCTTCTGTAAGGTATTACTGAAAGTTGTTGGGCTGATATCAACATGTCTGAATTATAACTTTGTTCCTCTTCTTTTTCTAGGCAATGGCTGTCCTCTTCTCAAATTTTGTCATTATAACAACGGCTCTTCTCTTCAGGATAGTGCTAAAGTAAGTAGTACTTAATAAGGTAAACAAAACTTTAAATTTTGTCTTTCTAGCCTAGATACAGTGGTTACACTACAGTCTTTCTTTGTCTGATAGCAACAGTAATACTGTTCTCTTGCAACTCTACCATCTTAGAGAAATGGCTTTGTGTTCTACATAAGAAGGTGTTGGAAATAATAGGTTTTCAGAGGCTCCTGTGTATCTCCACGTATGGTCACCTGTCACAGATTGCAAGTTATAGCTGTTGAATGATCAGACTTAAGGTTTGGGTTGGTGTATCTTTGTTTGTGCGTTAAATCTCATATTTAATGATGAGCAGTACATCTTTTCAGACCAATGTAGCTCTTACAGGAATGTAAAGGTAATCTAGCAAGAAAGGATGAGATATATGAGAGTGAAATAGGTGTTTTCAGTAATATTGTTCCTGCCCTGATGTGTTTCTGCTTATTTGCATAGGTTAAGTCTCTTCTTTGTTATTCATGTGATAGGGAAAAGGATATTAGCTTTCTTACACTACCTGAAAAGTTATTTGTGGTGAAGTCTGAACAAAGATGCATTTTCCACAGGTGTTAATATTCCAAAAGAGCATCTGGTAGTTTGGCCAAAGTGCTTTTACTCAGTTCTTTAGTTTAATATCTCTTGTGATGTCACAGTTTGTTTAATCTTCCGAATTTTGATTTTTTTTTTTGTTTAAGTTTTTTTTCCCCCCACAACAAACTAGTTTCACTTGCTTGAGTGAGAGAGTAGTTACAACAGATAAGACATTAGGCCTTGTACATTACATTTCTGCCATCATAAAATATGTAAAAAATGTACAAAATCATGGGGAAAAAATGAAATGCTGTAAAGGTTTATTGGAGAGAGAATTATTGGAATGTCTGACTTCTTTTTAATCCTTCAAATCTGTGATTACAAGGACAGCAGTTGATTTCAGTTGTTAGGTAGCCAGCATCTACAACTGACTTAATCTTGAAAGATTTTCCTTTTGTTGTCTCTACATTGGTTTATTGTCTATTCTGTGTTTCTGCGATCACCAAGTTGGGATCCCCTTGCCATAAAGAAGTATGCTATGTTTTGGCATTTTCCTGTCGATTCTGAAAAATCAAGATTTTTCATCATGCCACAGATAAGGAAACGTAGTCAAGCACAATGTTTTGTGTGTGCTTTATAGGGTTTGTTCTCATTGAATTTGTGTGACCATGTTTCTAAAGTTCGTGGCTTTTTTTGTCTGCTCCTAGGCGAAAACTCTCTTGGGTACAGTGGGCATCTCTGGTTATCTTATTCTTATCCATCGTCGCCCTTACACTAGGAACTGGAGGCCATCAGCAAAGCTTGGCTGTGCATGGATTCCATCACAGTATGTTTTTCAGCCCATCTAACCACTGCCTTTTTTCTGCTGGACCGGAGGAAACGTGCATGGAAAATGGTAGCTGTGGAGCACCAAGATTCCTTCCCACCTTCCGGTGGAATGTTACAAGTACCATGGCAGGAGCACTGAAACCTCTACGACTCAGTCTGGGGCATCTGCTTATTCTAGTGCAGTGTTTCATTTCTGCCCTGGCTAACATCTACAATGAAAAGATATTGAAAGATGGAGATCAGCTTGGTGAAAGCATCTTCACACAGAACAGCAAACTGTATGCCTTTGGAGTGTTGTTCAATGGACTGATGCTGGGCCTACAGGCTAAGGACCGGAGGCAAATAGGGAATTGTGGTTTCTTTTATGGGCACAACATCTTCTCAGTGGCTCTCATATTTGTCACTGCTTTCCTGGGGTTGTCTGTAGCCTTTATCTTGAAGTTCCGAGACAATATGTTCCATGTTATGACAGCTCAGATCACCACTGTCATCATCACTACTGTGTCTTTTGTCATCTTTGACTTCAGGCCTTCTTTAGAGTTCTTTTTGGAAGCTCCTGTAGTGCTTCTCTCCATATTCATCTATAATGCCAGTAAACCAAGAGGCCTGGAATATACTGCTATGAGGGAAAGGGGCAAGCTTTTCAAAGGAGATACATGGGAGAGGTCAAGTGGGGTAAGGCTTTTCCATGCTTGTCTTCTCTGATTTTTTTTTTTTTTTTAATTATTTATTTTTTCTTATTTCCCCTCTATTTACGCTATGGGATATGGACTGAAATCACTCATCAACTGAAACACCGAAATCCGTGTTCTTTGTCAAAAGCCTTCAAAAGTGATTGAATATTGCTTTGCATGTCACCCTCTTTCAATTCATAAATCCCAGATAAACAATGCTTTTCTGCAGTGACTGTGCTGTGAGCAACTTCAGCTTTGTGCAAATTCTCTGTTGAGGATATTGCTGGCCCTGGGAATACAGAAATTAGAATCGATGCCAGGAAACTAACAATACTTAAGTGGAACTGAAATTTTTGTGTAGCTGAGCCCACATCATGAAGAAATCAGTATTTGTTATTAAGATTATTTCTGTCATAACAGTCAAAGATACAAACAGACACAATGGTAACATTGGAGTAGACATTTTAATATTGTTTCTTACACAGCATTTTCTCCAGGGCCTTTTGTGTGTTGTTTGTTTGTTTTTTCCCCTTCCCTAAGTTGAACTGTAACCTAGATAACTCTAATATGGCACAGAGAGCTTGCCCTTAGGAATCCCAGTTAACTCACCTGAGCTGAGAAGTCAGTCTAAGGGGGAAAGAATTGCTTCATTCTGTGTGGACAGCTGTATGTCAGTAATACATGTTGTAACCAGCAGAGAGTGCTGTCTCCATTTAATTCTAGGAAACATTAAGCTTCCAACAGATGTTTTCTGAAACTTATAAATGGTGCCCTTTTTAGATGCTTGTTTAACGAGCAGTATGTGGGGTTTTCTTTTGTACCTGAAACTATTTATTTTAGCATTTATTTCATTCAGAGGGACCTCGACAGGCTGGAGGGCTGGGCTCGGGTGAACCTAATGAGGTTCAACACGGCAAAGTGCAAGGTTTTGCATTTGGGCCGGAAGAACCCCAGGCACCCGTACAGGCTGGGAGGAGCGGTCCTTGAGAGCAGCTCGGCAGAGAAGGACCTGGGGGTCCTGATGGACGAGAGACTGAACATGAGCCAGCAGTGCGCTCTGGCAGCTCGAAAGGCAAATGGGATCCTGGGCTCCATCAGGAGAGGGGTGGTCAGCAGGGACAGGGAGGTGATCGTCCCTCTCTACTCGGCTCTTGTGAGGCCCCATCTGGAGTACTGTGTCCAGGTGTGGAGCCCTCAGTACAAGAAAGACATTGAGATTTTGGAAAGGGTCCAGAGGAGGGCGACTAAGATGATCAGACGGCTGGAGCGTCTCCCCTATGAGGACAGGCTGAGGGAGCTGGGCTTGTTCAGCCTGGAGAAGAGAAGGCTGCGGGGTGACCTCATTGCAGCCTATCAATACCTGAAGGGAACCTACACCCAGGAGGGGAGTAAACTCTTCAAAAGGGCTGACAACAGCAGGACTAGGGGAAATGGATCGAAGTTGAAGTGAGGGAAGATTTAGGTTGGATGTTAGGGGGAAGTTCTATACAAGGAGAGTGGTTAGGCCCTGGAACGGGCTGCCCAGGGAGGTTGTGGATGCCCCGTCCTTGGATGTGTTTAAGGCCAGGTTGGACGGGGTCCTGGGCAACCTGATCTGAATGTGTGTGTTTGGTGGCCCTGCTAGGCAGGGGGGTTGGAACTACATGATCCTTGAGGTCCCTTCCAACCCGGGTGATTCTGTGATTCTGTGATTCTGTGATTTACAAGTGAGCGTATGTGGTAAAAACAAAGAATACTATGTGTGCAAGTTTCCTGATGGTGGGCTACAAGATTTTTCAGGGATCAAGCTACAGAAAAAAGCATTGAAGATAAAGAGGTTGTCATTTATTAGCATATGTGTACTAGAGTAAGATTTGAACACACTTGTAAAAGATAAATTACTGGGTGTTGACATCACAGAGATTGCTTAAAAATAGTCTTTCTTCTTCTCTCCTTTCTTTATGCATTGATAACAAGTTCACTTTTGTTCACATTGTTTTCTCCTGCTTCTGGTTCTTGCAGGATGGAGAAGAATTTGAGAGATTGAACAAACCAAGCAGTGACATTGATACAGATGAAGATTCACTCTAGCATGGAGCAGGCTGAGAAGAATGCTATTACTCATAGTGAGGGAATGTTCATGTTTCCTTTTTCCCTTTTTGCAGAATGATTGAGATTTCTTTGGGCCTAAATGTCAGAGATAGATGAGGAAAACATTCAAACTCTTAATTTGAGCCACACATTCTTGAAAACTGTTTTCCCTCTTACTATCTCTGCAAATGAAGAGGTTAAAATCTGCTGTAATAAACCAAGTTTATAATTGATGTGAACAAGAAGAGACTTGGATGCTGGACTCAGTTGTGTGGGTGACATGCTGTATTGGAGGGCAGTCCTTGCTGCAAATACGCCAGCGTGTGTCTTTCGTCACTTTGGTTGGTTGTGAAGCGGTGCAAATTCCTTTATGAATTCTTTTGTTAGCAAAACAGAGGTGATAAAACTGTTGTTCATGTTGCAGAAGTGGTAGGAGGACTGATGAGCATCTTCTAATTAAGCTGGGACTAATAACCTTATAAATAATGAAGCATATTGACTGTTTTATTGTATTTTGGTCAATCAGATTGAAACATCCCTAGCTGAGTGAAAGAGTCCCCTTGAAACAATCTTATCAAACCTTGACTTGTGAATGTATAATAAATCAGACAATTTGGGTTAAGGATTTTTCAGACAGAGGAATCTCTAGAGTGTGATTTCAGTATGAATGGTTTTAATTTAATTTTCATTCCTGTTCTACACCAGTGTAACTCTGTACTGGCTCCTGTGGAGTCCTTCCTGATTCTTTGATGTGACTGAAGCAGAATAGATTTCAGTGACTTCAGCCACTAGCTCTCTCATATTTCTAGTATGAGATTGCTTTGTGCCTGTCTCCCAGTGTTTGGGGAAAATGAAATATGGAATGCCTTTATAGAAAATAGTGTATTTTACATGCAACTTATGTGGCCTAACACCGAAAGAGCCTGAATAAAACAAAAGTATGTTATTCAGTTTGAATGTATCATAAGATCTTTTCTGCATGTGGAAAGCATGTATGTAGAGATATACTTTACACTGGGGCCACCATCTGAAAGTGAATATTACATAGCTACAGTGAGGCACTACAACATGTAGTACTAAATACATGGAGCACCAAGCAGGAGGGCACAGGTGTTGGAATCGTTTGGCGTTGCTCCACTAACTCAGACTGATAAAGGTTTGCATTCGGTTTACAGAGTGAAAAGTTATTCTGCAGAGTGCCAGGCAGGGTGATTTCAGAATAACTGTTGGCTTGTATTTTGAGTGAGATGAAAAATAGGTTCCAAGTAATTCAGTGAATCTTAAAAATTGAAGGATGAAGTGAATAGGAATGCAGATAAGAGTTATTAATGTGTTCTTGGAAAGATACTGTCAAAGGAATTCCTAAGGAGGTATGCAATAAGTTCAGCATCAAACTCTCATACCACAGAATATAGTAATGCATTTCTCTGTGGACAGTTCTGTCTTTGTTCCCCTCTTCTACCCTGTTTCCAGGCTCTATGTGCTAACAGCTTACTTACACATACTGTATTGATGGCTCATTGCTGCATTTATTAGCATACCTCCTGTCACTGATCCATCAAAAAGAGCAGCCTGTTTCCAGTTGTGGCCAATGCCTGTCAGAAACTATGTATGTGAAATTCTTACTCTGATTTTTGGTTTTTTGGATGATGAATGTGAAATCTTACTGTTTTTTTTTTTTTCCCCCCCAGAAGTGTAAGCTTTTTCTTGTATGTATTAAGACTAATTATACAAAGAGAAATTATTGTTGTGGTTTGTTTATATGAGGTAACATTGTAAGTAGTGTTGAAAAATGAAAAACATTTTACAGCTGATGTCGTTGTGCTTGTTGTGCTTTCAACAACAAGAAAAATCTTGTTGTTTGGATCTATACAGAATGAATAAGAAAGTATATTTGAATGTAAACTCCACATGGTTTCATTGATGTATGATATCCTGATTTGGGAAATGAAAGTTCAGTGTTAAAAAAGAAACAAAGAAACCCTTAAACTGTTTTGAGACTTAGTTTGCAATAAGACAGCTTCATTTTGTTTTCCATTGCATACAGGTTTGCAATATATACTGCCTGAGTTCATTGTTTTTGCTTCTGGTTTTTTGTTTTCCAGTCACAGCTACCCACTTTTAGCAGATATTTTCATGAAAAAATGAAAGTACTGTTGGCTTTAGACTGCTGTTAAAGTGGTAGCTTTTTACATTGACTTTTGCAGACAGTTTTGCCTTAGATTAAGTCACAGCATAGAATTCTGCTTCATACTTCTAGTGACAGTGTCAAACCTGAAATGAATGTCTTGAAAACATTATTTGACCTTCCTGCGTGAACTGTCTGCCTTAAGAGAGATAAGAGTTGGAAATGACTGATTTGCAAATTTTATGAAGTGTATTTGGGATTGCATTTGGCTCTTGTCAGCCTTAGTCATTTCTTCCCTCTCTAAGTTTCACTGATGCTGTAACGCTTGACTTGTTTTGCCGAACTCTGATTGCACAAAGATATCAGGTGTATAACTGTGAATGTATGCTGATATACTGATTTACTGATCTATCTGATTTACTTTCCATGTAGAGTTAGGTGCTGTCTAATGTGTGGAAATCTTTCTGTTGTCTTCAGGTGAACAGGTTGGAATGAGGCTGTTGGATTGGCCAGGCAGGTTTCTTTTAATAATGGAAGAGAACTTTGAATCCTCTCAGCAGTAACAGGAACATTAACTGTCTAAAAATGGGTAAGGACTTAATATAAACTTAGCAATAAAAAGTGTATAAGTAATTCGGAAATATGGCCATGCATTTCTGTGCAGTCATACTGCCCATGGTGATAGTCAAATGTAGTGTGTATATGACATTTGTTAGAGAAAGTGACTATAAGCAAATGTTAGCTGAAAAAAACAACTCTGGTTAGCAAGTGAGGCTGTTCTGTGGAGCTATACATTGCAAATAGATCATGTGATCCCTACAGCAGTAAGAGTGGTTAAGTACTTCCACTGTGGTGTCCTTCACCTACTCTGTGTCAGAAAGCTTACTTTTTTTTTTTTCTTCTCTAGCTTACTATTTTACTCCTCAAAAGGCAATAGGGAATTTTATTAGGAGTTTTTTGGAGATCAGCATTAATTTGACACGTAGTCTTTAATGAAGGTGTTGGACTGAGAGCTCTTTCAAAGTTGTGAGTCAGAGCCCAGATTCACAAATGTTTGAACTTTATCACTGCTTAGAATGTTATGTTCCTCCCTTGGATGGGAGGAATTAGTTCATAAAACCTCTAAGGAAGAGAGATCTCTTCATGTTTCTCTTGTTTATAACAAGTTTGTTAAAGTAGTTTTTATTGGTTAATTTCAGCTACTTTGTGAAAGTAGAAGCTGAGCCATTGTGCTTAAAGGACAGCTCAAGCTGAATCAAATCCCAGAAATATGGATGAGAAAAAAGTTTTGAAATTTTCCTTCATTGTGTCAAAACTTCCTCCTCAGAACTGTAAAAACAGGGCTTTAATCTCAATAAACCTGTCCTCACAGTGGTGCTGCAGGGACAGATGCAGTATTTTTGATCTGTGTTTGGCACGATTAAGTGTTGGTCTGGAGTTGTCTGTCTCTCTGATACTTTTGGAGTCTTTGAGGTAATTTTTGTTAAAAGGATTAGTGTTCCTCCCACTTCGCTTTTAGTTTTCCACAGGGAGAGGTAGGTTGCAAAATCAGGGTTTTAAATCGTTGCTAAAAGTTGTTAGTAATTTTAAGCCATTTTGTAATGAAGGCAGAATTGGCACCAGAAGGTACAATCATACTGAGTGTCTCAAATTTTATAATGTTAAAATGTGCAGTTTTGGTTAAGAGCACATCCCAGCCTCCCTTATCAGTACATAACTTGTTTGGAGTTGCTTTTTTTAAATGCAACTTCCACAGCCAAGACTGGGTTTGATATTTGCACAACTTGGATTAGGCATAGCCCTGTCTTTTGTAAGTTTACTGTCTCTTCCTACTGCTTGGCACAGGATGTCTAGGTTCCATGTTTTGTACTGTCAATTAAAACAGCTTTTATTTTTCATTTGCATGAAAAATAAGGTTATAGGAAAGTTGAAATGAAAAATTGAAAGAAGACACTCCAGAGATGCTTCTTCTTTTGTCAACAGGCGGTGGCTGTTAGGTACACTTTCCTCTGCTTTTGCTTTAGGCAAAGATGGTTAGGTAACTGACCTTAACGCGTTGGTGCAGTACTTGTACTTGTTCTCTAAGACTAAGCTGTGGGACTCAATCTTTTTTCTTAGAAAACTTTCAGTTCTATAACTTTTTTTTTTTTTTTTTTTTTAATCTGTCCTCTTTGGGCTTTTTGTTTTGTTTTCTCTGTCCTCTGCTTTCAGCTGCAGAAGTTCTGTAGGTAAAGAGAAGTACTGTGCAGGCATCAGTCCTCTCATATTGGATCTCTCAGAAGTCTATCTTTGCCCACTTAGCTCCAGACGCAAACCTGAGAGTTTTAAGATAGAAGCAATATCCTGTGTTGGCTAGACCTTTTGGCAGAGGGCAGCCAGCCCTGGAAGGTGACTAGGTCTAATGCAGAGGAACAACTGGCCAGGCCCTGTGACCTCTTGACATCTGTCTGCCTTTCAGAAGGGTAAGCAAGATATGACCTTCTCCCCCAAGCAAGATATGACCTCCCCTCCTCCCCCCACAAAAAAAAACCAACCCAACAACAACCACAAAAAAACAACAAAAACCCTCACTCCATCAGAAAAACTAAACAAAACAATCCACATCTGGGGGGAAAAAGAAAGCAAAAAAAAAATAGAAAATACAAAATCTCACATGGTAGAGCATGCTCTGTCCAGTTTTGAGTTGTACTTTCTACCTACTCCAGTGCTACTGCTGTGATGACAAAACCTAATGAGTGCCCTGTTACACATATGCATGAAGGGCATGAATGCATATCTGGAATATGCTTCCATGTAACAGATTATAAAAAGAAAAGGTGACTAATAGGTGTGCCTGAAACAGTAGACAAGACTACTGTGCCAATGTGAAGATTTGCATGATGCCTTCACTTCAACATATTCCTGAATCTTGCTGCTGAGTCTTTAGCATTTGGGAATCTAACCCAAACGATACTGAAAACACAGCTTTGCAAGGAGTTTCTGCAACTGACTTCAACAGAATAAGGTTGTGCAATGGATCCAATGTGCGAAGACAACAGTGAGAAGGGAGAAGAAAAACATTTCAGAAAATGTGGCAGAAATACAGCTGGTTTAGTAGCAAATCAAATTATACTCAAACAATTCTATAAACATTTCATCCTTTTTTTCTTTTTTCAGGGGGTAGGATATGAGAAGAGGTAGAAGGAAATCTGGAGTTTAGAGCAATAGTTTACATAACATTACAATAGAGAGCTAGTACAACTTATTTAAAATATGTGAATGACAATGTTTTCCTTTTTTTTTTTTTTTTTCTGATTAGAAATAATGCTTTTAGTTTATTTCAGACAAGACTATATGGCTGGTGTTTTCACTTAGCTCTCATTAACTCAGAATTAACTGCCAGGTGTGTAAGACCTAAAAGAAAAGGGACCCAATTAAAAGACTAGATGGCCACGTGCAGCCAGCTTTGCTGTTAAGAGAACTTTACACTGTTCAGTGTTGGAACAAGTACTGCCAGAACCAAAAATTCTTACTTTCATTGGCAAAGTCAGCAAATTACAATGCTGATGCACTGTACAAGGGATGCTGTGTTTTTTAGACAAATTACTTCAAAAGGATTTTTTTAATTATTATTGAAGAACTTGTCAAAGGTGTCTTTCATAATGTTTCCTTTTTTGGGAAAGTTTTGAAGTTCTTCGCTTATCTTCATCAGCGCAATGCAAAATTCTCACTTTCCAATAAATACAGGGTTTTTTTTCTTAGAAAAAATACTAAAAAGAGCATTGCAATATTTGTCAGACCATTCATGTCCTGCCCTACAGTAGCGTCCATGGACTGAGGCTGTGGGGACTTTTTGTTTAGTTTTAGTACAAAGAAACAGCAACTGCTGATGCCTTTTGTTTTTAGGATTAAAAATATAAAGGAGTCTTTATTGTTTAAAGCTTCAATACTATGGTTTTGAATTGTTTCACCGTAAAAAGGCTTCTGCATTTTTGAGAAGGCAAATAACCAAAGTCCCTTGATTGAACAGTGCAAGAAGGAGGCGTGGATATCTAGATGGCCTGGAAAAACTCTGCAACAGGCCACATATTGCTTGGATAGCTATTAGAAGACAGGCACAGGGCAGTCAGAGACTAACTTGCTCTTTTCAGTATGGATATCCATGGTGGTAACTTCCATGGTGACGGTAGTCATCTTGGTAACCTTCCTGGTATCCCTGGTGATAGCTATGGTAACCATACCCACCATACTCATCTTCTGGGCACTGCATGCCGAGCGATTGCTGAATTGTCATTTCCTGTCGCCGAAGCTGCATGGAATCAATCAGATCATACACAATTGCCATAGACCACATTGGAGAAGGGTACCAGGATTTGACGTTTCCATCTTTCCCAACTAGAAGCATGGAGAAATACTCTGGGCTAATTTGGAAATAATTTCGAATGTCTTTCACCAAGTTAGCTGGGATATCTTCTCGGTCCACAGTAGCGCTTCCTAGAAAGTGATCACACAAAACAGCATTGGCATTTTGTTTAAGCAACAGTGATGAGTGTCAGTAACTCAGTGAGTTTGCAGTGTGAGAAAAGATACAGCCTAGTGTTTGATAACGTAATATTCTTGTCATTTGCAGTGTAGTATTTCCTGGTTCTGAAATGAAAGGCTGCTGTACTGTGAACCAAAGATGCATTTTTAATGGTTTTGTTAAGG